CAACAACTTAGTGAAAGTAATGTGTTGTTTTATGTAACATTTGTTATATGAATTTTGTAGAAAATCTTTTAAAAAGAAGACCTAGGAGAGTAAAAACCACAGATGCAGAAGAGGAAGAGGTAAGTGAAAAGATTGATTTCACCAGAGACATCAAGGTCCTATATACAATTTTGATGAAATACAAAGATTGCTCCAAGAAATAGAACCAAGCTTGAAGGGTTTTTTTGACCAACTCTATTTAGCAGCTCAGCTATTTGAATGTAATGGACCATATGAAGAGCTTAATGGTGGTGTTCATGTGTTATCTTCTTCTTGCTTTAAATAACACAAAAATTAACTCTTTTAAGTTTGAACTTGCATTCTATTTAGACTCGGTAGATACAAGGCTTGGAGTAACTACAACATCAAGAGCAGTAGATCATAAAAAGAAACAAGTTGCAGATGAACATGAGAAATATGTAGAGAATGCACTTACAAAATATTCAAAAAATACATTCTTGTTGAATGTTGACAATTCACGTCCAGAGGCAATCAGTATCCTTTAATTACTAAAACTTTGTTACTTCTAGGAAACCATCTACAAACATTTTTTGCAATTACGTATAATGTGATTACACTAACTATACTAATTTGAATAATTGTAGTGTACCCATTTATTACAACCATTGTCTACAAAGGTGCCAATCTAAATGTTTGATATCTTAGACTATCTTCAAGTCAAAATCAAAAAAAATGTCAACACACTAAAAGAAAGTATGATGAAAAAATATTAAATGAAAATGAATTTACTGAAAATAACAAAAATACAGTTGATGATGATCTGGGCAATGTTGAATCAGCAACAGATATACATTGTGTAACAAAAATAATTGGAAAATTATTGCAGTTGTTTAAATGTGTGTTTTGTACTCAATTTAAACCCAATTCGTGTTGCGTCACTTTCAAAACAAACACAAATAATAAATTTGTCTTTTTAGGTTGTTTTTTTGTTTATTATTTTTCAATTGTT